CTCAGTTCATCAATATGTTTTAGAAGGCTAGCAATATTTAAGCTTGCCATTTTAAAGCCTCTAATTTTTGGAATTAAAGATTCATTTTCATTTGTATTCTCGCTATAGCTAGTGCTCGTAGAAGTTTGTTCATTTACTCTTGATTCCGATGACTTATCAGATAAATTGTTAATATGGCAAAGATAGTCTAAAATGCATATTTGTGATGAATATAGTCATTTGCGAAAAAGATCAATATAGTTCTTCGCTAGTATTGCTGCTGCTGTTCTTCGCTAGTATTGCTGCTCCGCCGTCCTTTTTTTCCGGTCCTGGAACAGTGAGCGTTGCACTGCCTTTGGCCGGCAGTGTCGATATTGTCAAGCTTGTGATCGTTTGGCATGTGGGGGGTCGCATAGACGTATTTCTGTCCTTTTAACGTCCCTGCGGGAACGACCCAGTCACACACAGAGGACATCGTAAGCGCGTCTCCTTTTTTCTCAAAACGTTGATATTGTTAATTTTTCTGTTACGTTGTCGATTCTCCGCTGTATGATATTTATTCAGCGTGGCGTCGGTCGTGTTGTTCTTAAGCTTCACTCGTCGGCATTTTTGTTTTTCTGGACTGATAGAATTGTCGTGTGGTTAAGCCAATACATACATATCTACATTTTGTAGTCTAGTCTCGTTAGTATATCATTAGCCAATAAAATTGTATTCTAACTCGTTTGTGTTGGAGTTGGGTTTTTTCGGTCCGGCGGTGGGGCCACGTATCTCTCATTCTTGATCTTTTTGAAGGACCTACCCCACTCCCCTTATCCTCGTTCACGATCGGCTCTATTTGCCCTCGCAATCTCGCAGCCTTTGTGCACGAGCTCAGGGAGTATCCTAGTCCCTGCAAGGAGTATGTGCTGTCGGGCATTCGCGATGGTTTCCGTGTGGGTTTCGTTCCAGAGCGTGTGGTCATTCGTCCGTCGCTCCGCAATCTCACGTCGGCGTCTCAACACCCGGACGTCATCGACAAATATCTCTCGACGGAAGTCGCTCAACGCCGGGTGGCTGGTCCTTACCCGTACCCCCGCCCCTCACTGCCCTCTCTCAAACCAGTCCGTTTGGGGTTATTCCGAAAGGTCATCAACCGGGGAAGTAGCGCCTCATGCCTGACCTTTTCCTCTCCCCAAGGAGCAAGCGTTAACGATGGTTTACCTCAGGATCCCTTCTCTATGCGATACATTTCCGTTGACGACGCTATCAGATCCCTCTTTGTCATTGGCCCCGGGGCCCTAATGGCCAAGTTCGACGTGCAGGCTGCCTATCGTAACATTCCGATCAACGTCTCCGACCGACATCTGTTAGGCATGTACTGGCGAGACTCTTTCTATGTGGACTTGGTGCTACCTTTTGGCCTCAGGTCTCCTCAATTCCTTTTTGATGCGGTGGCGTCCGTTGTTCATTGGATTCTTTCAACAACTACCACGTTCACCCGTTGTTCCACTACCTCCATGATTTTTTAACTTTGGGTCCCCCGTCGTCTCCCACGTGTGCCAAGCCCACATCGACTCTTCGTTACCGTCTTCAACCACTTGGGTCTCCCTCTTAACCATGAGAATTCGAGGGCCCCGCAACCTGCTTAGTGTTCTTGGGTATTGTGCTTGACTCGGTCACTCACATTGCTAGGTTGCCAGCCGAAAAATTCAACCGTTCCATGTCACTCCTCCAGTCTTGGTCCAACAAGCGTACTTGTCACCGTCAGGAATTAGAGTCCTTGACTGGCCACCTCCACCACGCGTGCAAAGTTGTCCGTCCTGGACAAACGTTTTTGCGCCGTATGATTGATCTTCTGGCTCATTTTCGCAATCGCTCGCACCCAATTCGCCTTAACGTCGATTTTCGTCGGGATGTCCACTGGTGGCTCGCTTTCTTTCGTGATTGGAATGGCATCAGCTTCTTCTTGTCGCCTGGCGTATCCCAGCTTACCGACTTGTTCGGCGCGTCTGACGCAGCAGGGTCCATCGGTTTTGGAGCAATGTGGCGTTCCCATTGGTGTTTCGGTTCCTGGTCGTTTCTGTCTTCCCCACAATCCATCGCGTTTATGGAGCTTCTGCCTATCGTTGTAGCTGCGCATCTCTGGGGGGCAAGTTGGTCACGACTACAGGTCCTGTCGATTTCAGGCGTGTCCTTTGATACGTCATGCACCTCTTCATCAAGACGTCAAAACCGGACCCGTTCCGCCGAGGCGTGTCTCTCTCCATCGGTGCGTCGGGAAAGCGCATCTGCGCCGTATCTGCGGTTCGCCGTTACCTTCAGGTTCGAGGCAACGCTCCCGGGTCACTGTTCGTGTTACCGATGGTTCTCCGCTAACACCGGTGGTGGTCAACTGTTGGCTCCGTGCGATTTTATCCAACTTGAGAATACGTGGTACCTTACTCTAGTCACACTTTTAGGATTGGCGCGGCGACAGCAGCAGCGTCTACGGGCATCCCGGATCACTTAATTAAGACATTGGGTCGTTGGTCGAGCAACGCGTACCTTCTTTACATTCGGACTCCATCGCCCGTGCTAACATCAATAGCTGCCGTGCTGGCCTAATTCGAACCGTTTTGGAGGAGGGTTCGAGTGCCTCGAATCCCTCTCTCCAGCGTTGCTGGAGTGGTGCCCTGGAGAGGTGTTGTTCTCGGCACTCGAGAACAGCTAGGTTAATTAAATTAAATGTAAATACGTCACCAAGTCGTCGATACCTAATTTGTGAACGTGGCCATGACTAAACGCAAACTCTCGACCCACGGTCATGGCTTCGACCGAACTTCCTCTTCAGTGGTACCACAAACCGCCAAGTCAATTATCAGATTTGCCAGTTACGATCGAAGCGAGCTTGTTAATTGGATTTATGAAATAAATGATATTAATAACGAGCTGAGTTGTTGTATTTGTTATCAGAATAGGGGGCCCCAGGGACAGCTTGGCAAATGCTAATGAGGGCATTTGCATAACCTACCTTATATAAGTTGTTTACGCCAGTAGCTCATTCTCAGTCGTGACATTTAGTCGTTCCCATCCCCCCTCACCCACGGGGGTTCTTAGTTGTTCCCATCCCCTCCCCCTCACCCACGCCCATCCGTAGCCTTCCCGGAGGAAGCCCGCAGCCAGCCCCGTCGTTTGGCTCGCTGCCCGTCGATTGCCCAATCTCAGTTAAGTACCTTTCCCTGTTCATGATCTGGCACCTCGCGCCAGCCTCGTTGAGTTAACGACCCTCGTTTCTCCCAATCCATCGTCTATCGCATCGTCCTTCCCGTCCTGTGTTCGCGGCAATCAGCGTCAACAATCGGCCCAAACTCGTGTGTGTGTGTCATAAGTCGTTCGTTATACAGTGTCTCTATCGGAGCGGGTCTTAGTGCCCTTGCTCATCTCCACTTCCTTAGGAAGTGTGATTGTGGTACTATAGAGGAGAGGTGTTGTTCTCGGCACTCGAGAACAGCTAGGTTAATTAAATTAAATGTAAATACGTCACCAAGTCGTCGATACCTAATTTGTGAACGTGGCCATGACTAAACGCAAACTCTCGACCCACGGTCATGGCTTCGACCGAACGTCCTCTTCAGTGGTACCACAAACCGCCAAGTCAATTATCAGATTTGCCAGTTACGATCGAAGCGAGCTTGTTAATCATTAGTTGTTCGGCGAACGAAAATGCCGACTTCCTTGGATGGACACTAGTAGGCTTAAAATAAGATGTACATTCAAATTCTTTCAACATTCTAAAAGAAGAAGAATATGTCTCAATACGCTGAAAAAAGTTTTCAATTTGACGCGAAACTTTCCGAGTTATGATGCACAAGTGAACACACATTTGACCGCCGTTTCCGGGGTCAAATTTCAGTGTCGCTGACGTCCAGACAAAAATTCGTCATAACTCAAAAAAAAAAGAAAAATTTAGAAATTCTAGTATTAGTTTAATACCTTTTAGGACAAAGGTAGTTCATGGTAAAAATATAAAGGAAATCTAATTTTCAACCTGAAACTCTCTGCATGGTTCTTAAGGCTGTTTTCCACTAGGCGGAATTTTGCGCGCGGAGCGGAATTTTTCTTTGTCTTGTGATTTCTCGTGTGGAACTAATTAGAAAAGACAAAGAAAAATTCCGCTCCGCGCGCAAAATTCCGCCTAGTGGAAAACAGCCTTTAGTGAGACAGCCACTTAAAAATTCAAGCGACAGTAAAAGCACAGAGTAAAGATATATTCTGTGGCAAAAGCATGCGCGTGACGTCACTGAGTACAGGTTAGGAGAATTTCAACGTTGATCTTTTGAGTAAAATTGTTTACTACTGTAATATCTTCCACTTATATTATAAAAGAAATAGAACAATTCGTCGCGTGCGTTTATGGTGTGATAATGCACGCGGGGAATGTTGGGAGAATACTCGAGAAGCGTGTAGAACACTCGGCTACGCCTCGTGTTTTACACGCTTCTCTCGTATTCTCTCAACATTCCCCGCGTGCATTATCACACCATAAACGCACGCGACGAATTGTTCTATTTCTTAAATAATAAAAAACATAGATAATGAGGTTTATTATGACTAATGTTTGCACCGAGTTTCCTGACCTTGTTATATTAGCCATTCCGAAGTTGATGAGTGGACTGGGGACGAGCGTTAAAAAGTGCCCAAATTAAGAAATGAACCAAATCACTAAAACGACCACCTCAAAATTAATAAGTATACAAAGTTTGAAGACGTTTACATGAATACCCTTCGAATAATAAGCTTTCGAAAATGGTGATATTTGCTATGAAATGTATTGTAATTTTTGATTTTGGGACGCGCGTCCCAAAAACAATCTTTTAATAAGTAATTTCACAATTTTCGAAAGCTTATTATTCGAAGGGTATTCATGTAAACGTCTTCAAACTTTGTATACTTACTAATTTTGAGGATCTTTTTAGTCATTTGGTTCATTTCTTAATTTGGGCACTTTGTACCACTCGTCCCCAGTCCTCTCATCAACTTCGGAATGGCTAATTGACTGTGGCAATTGCTAGATAGTATACTTCAAAATAAGGTTTCCGTTTTTATATCAATTTTTAAAATAATTAAAATAAGTTAGGGTTAGGTTAGGGTTTAGGTTAGGGTTAGGTTGGGGGTTAGGGTGAGGGTTAGTATTAGGGTTAGGGTTTAGTTTTGCGTTAGGATAGTTTTTTCTACGTTATAAAAACGGAAACCTTATTTTGAAGTATACTATCTAGCGATCACCAATTGACTGTGGCTTAATTAAACAAGCGACGTTTTTGCCACCAGAAAATTGATATATCTAATTTTGGCGGCATTTTGCATGTTCACCTTGCATAGATCATTCATAGCGCTCGTGTAAGGAAGCGAAAAAACTTTAAAATGTTCGAAAATTGGAATTTTAAATTACATGCAACTGATCAGAACTGATCACTTTAAATCAGATCACATGTGCAAAGAGCTTCGGATCTCTTTTACAAAAAATCACCCTGAATACGCACCTATTGTTATCAATGATAAACCAATAGAAATTGTGACTACCATCAAATTACTGGGTCTGAACATTTCCAATAATCTTAAATGGAACCATCATACAGAGGAAATTTTTAAAAAAGCTTCCACCCGGTTGTATTTCCTGAGGCAACTAAAACGTGCCAAAGTTGCCGAAAAGGAACTTTTAACCTTCTACAAGACTTGTATTCGTCCTATAACCGAATACGCCTGTCCTGTTTTCCACAACGGATTACCCACGTATTTGTCAGATGAATTAGAACGTATCCAAAAACGCGCAATGCAAATCATATTCCCAAACGTTAATTATCAGGACGCACTGAAGAACAGTAACTTATTTTCTTCATACGGAAGAAGAGAATACCTAACGAATAAACTCTTTGAAGAAATATGTTCTGATCCCAACCATAAACTGCATTACCTGGTGCCGAAACTAAACGAAACCGATATTGGACTAAGGAATAGACGCATGTTTAACTTTCCTGTGTGTAAAACAAACAGACTAAAAAATAGTTTTATATTTAGTAATTCAAGTAGGAAAACTTTTTAATCCTAGTTTATATATGTACTTGTTGGATATTACATGTAAAATTAGCTTATCACTATTTTAATCACTTTTAACTTTTATATTATGTAAATTTATATACAATTCAGCCATTTTGGCTGCAATGATATATCTTAATAAACTATCTATTTATCAATCATATAGCTATAGGTGTCATAAAAGCCTGATGTTTATAAATACAAAGTATAAAAGCCTGATCTTATAAAAGCCTGCTTGATCTTTATAAATAACGCACGATAATGTCAAAGTTGAATTACCTTTTTTTATATATTGTATTTCATATAGTATCTCGTATAATTTGCTGATTTATAGATCAAAGAAACTCCGCTGAAGAATACGAAATTTGTTGAAAATGCAGATTACGAGTTAGGAGTCGTGTTAGGAAAAGGTGGCAATGGCACCGTCCATTCAGTCAAGCTACTTGAGCCTGGACAAGCGAAGTTAGGAATTAAAGACCAGAACTGTCTGGCGGCAAAACTAGTAAGGATAAAATGCAATTATTTAACAATTATCATTCACTTTATAATATTCTCAATTTTGATTGGTTAATTTACCTGCAAATAACTGTGTGCAAATATCGATCAGGTGCAAATAACTGGTGCAACTAAGCATGCACACTTTGAAAATGATTCGTCAGCTTAAATTAAACAAGACGCCTGCTCATGAGGCGTTCACACTGGCCATATAATGCGTGCTGGTGTGTAAGGGTGGAACAGTTGGTAGAACAGTTTGAGTAACACTATACATGTATATTTGTGCCAGGCTAGAGATTGGTAAACAAACAATATATAGTAAACAAACCGAAAGCCCCAAGTCACAAACGCGTTTAAGGATTTTAAAACGTCCGTACAGAAGGGCGGTTCAATTAATACGCAGGTAATATACCAGAAACATTTTAGCATGCTAAGTTTCAAAATTCAAAGAACTCTATATCAATAGTATAAACAAACTGGACAAAAAATCCTGTTGCATAGTCAGTCCGCTTTTTACCTGGCGGCCATTTACCGCGGTTCACTTCATGAACCCAGGTCGATTTCACGTTGACGAAAAAAATGAAGAATTTTTGCACAGAAAATTAAAGAACCTTAACACTGGGCCTTATAAACGGCCAGTGTAAAAATATCGTCTTCTCTTTTGAAATGTTAACATGGCTCGTTTTGCCGAGCTATCGGAAAGCGATTTGTCATCTTTAGGCTACTGGTGGTAAAGGACGCCGAAAACACAAAAAGGCAACAAAACTTAAATTGTTTACATGCTTGATTTTATAAAAATCGCAATTTTTGTGCAATACAGTATAATTTTTACGTTGTGTATATTGGAAGCAATGTGAAGCGGCGGGGGCAGCTATTTCAAAAGGGCACTTGCTTCCAAATCATCATTTTTCTAGGCGGCAATATTTGTTAAAAATTTACTGTACGGATACTCGATTACTTGTGGCTATTATTGGGTCGGCAACTTCAACATTAATTTTGAACAATTTTATTCATTGAACCACATGCTAAGGGCGCAAAATAGAATCAGTAAACGGGTGTATATTGCCTGATTTAGCATTAATTTTACTACAATTGGTTAACAATTAAGCAAAGATTGCTTAAACATTTCTTAAAAGTAGTTATAAATTCCAATTCCTGTGAATAACGCACAAATTTCGAAGTGCAGGTCTGGTAAAAAGGGCAACCTTTTCCCCCCGTGCGGCCCACGCATGCACTGTTTGGGCAACAGGGGCAGTTGCCTCCGCTGGCCCCGTGGCTCCGGCGCCCCTGATTACACAATGCGGAATGACTTTTTAATCAGAATGAAAGAATAATTTCTGTTTAGCGTTAATTTGTGCAGCAAATGGCTGTTAATTTGTGCAGGAAATACACTTTTCACTTTACAAGTTTCGAAAACACAATACAGCGTCAGGACACCATATAGCAGAATGAAAACATGACATCAAACGACACAGTATCGTACAAATTGAGATATCTATATAGGATACAAAACAAAATGGTCAGTTTAAAAAAATATCACGGCAAGATTTTTCCCAACAGTCGCGAGATAGTTTTTGCTATTTGTTTGAAGCGAATGTTTCGGAGTTTTAAATAAGTTTTAAATTGTTCGTGAATATGTTTGACACAGCAAAATAATAAAGGAATCCTACTTTAATACAACATTTTGTGCTATTTTTGTTTTCTGGGGACGATTTTTTCAATATTTCGTCGATTTTGAAACCAAATTTGCTGAATCATTCTTTTTGAAAAGCATTACTTATTTACTAATCTGCTCAAGGATGAACAAACTGATTGCTTTTTATTCTTTTTCGTAGGCTAATGTCCGCGACTATGAAGTAGAGGTGTTAAGAACGCTTGCCAATGAGAATGTCCCCAACATTGCTGTTCACTATTTCATTGTGAACAAACGCACAACCGCAAGCAAAGAACCCGACAAGTTTACTAGACATATCATATTCATGCAACGTGCAGGTAAATTATTTATATGTATTTTATATATGATACTGAATTGAACAGGTGTTTGCCTTCAACAGGTGTTTGCCATTTTCCAAGGTCGACTTTAGCACATGCAAGTATAGTGATAATAAGGAGGTTTTGTTTCGACTACGAGTACGGCAACGAGTACGAGATGTTTCCCGCCAAAAGTGGGACCAACCATCTGCTGAGCTTGGCAAGTGTTAACCGTTGTTCTGCTTAGTACGAGCATTTAAAACTAACCATATAGTATACCTTTTTTAAAATAAAGCGTCTAAAACAAACGTAATTTAATACTCGCTTTTAAAATCTCGTTCATTCAGCTGGTAAAGGCAGCAACAAACCAATAAACTCCTAAAACAAACTCGTTATCCCACTACGAGATTGTTCAAACAGCTGGTCGACTACAACTTGCCAGCTGCTCATTAATTTAGATCATAGACGTATTTTCAGGGAGGATGCTGCATGAGCAATTTACCACCGCCCTCCCAACCCCGTATAATGTTACTAAAACTCAACGATTTTTTAAAATAATTTTTAATTTTTTTTAGAGAATAATACATGGGTGCGCGGAAATACGAGATTTATTTCGAGTGTTGAACATGATATCTCACGAGTGAGCGCAGCGAAGGAGTGAGATATCATGTTCAACACGAGAAATAAATCTGGTATTTTCAAGCACCCATGTATTTTTCTGTTTACTATATAAAGGACAGTCTTTGAAAAGCGATAATTTTTACAGAAAAGCGATAATTGAAAAGCGATAATTTTCAGACATCGCCCTAATTAAGAATGGTGTCCTATATGTAATAGAACTTACATGTTGCTTCGAAACGAATGCAGAGAAATCAAGAGAATATATAAGCAAGCAAAATACAGGACATTACAACAAGATAGTAATGACAGATGGAGAGGCTTTCAATTTTTCTCGATCGAAATAACTTCTCTTGGAATTGTAACATCTCACTTTGAAGATATAAAAGTGTTATTTAAGGGAACTAATATTAACTTTCAAAGGATGATCTCCAAGTGTGTAGGGAAGTGGCCATGAGGGCTTCCTTCTACATTTATATACGGCGGAACAAAGAATGGACGAACCCTAATATGCTTAAATTTTACTAATGTAGACAAGTATGAACATTTAATTGCCTGTTTTCTCAGTGGACTGCCCTGCGTTTATGCAGGAGATGAACACTTGAGTTGTTTTTATGACTATAGTACATTAAATCAGTTCTATATAGAGTAGTTTTAGTAATCTCGATCTTTTATATACTTAATTGTTAGCAATAAATCCTGTTTCCATTATTATTATTATTATTATCCAAAATGGCTTTTCAGAAATAATTACAATTGTAAAATTAAGATTAAAATACGTATTTACATCAGTTTATTAGAAGACCTATATATACTAATTATATCGAAATATACATTTGTTTATGGGTATAATAAACGAATTATTGATAATATTCTAAAATATAAAATTATTTTGAGTTGTTCCAGCACTCTTTATGCAGTATCTCTCTTACTAGTTTTTTTTATTGTCTAAATCATTCCATAATTTGGTTGCTCTATATAAAAAAGAGCGCTGACCAGCAGCTGTCCGATAAAATGGGATATCTAATTCATCCATTTGTCTTGTCGCCCGACCATGTGTCTGGGATGTGGATGTGAATCTTCTTGCAAGGTATGGTGGTGCTAATCCTTTAATTAAGACACTTATAAGCCATAACAGTATCTTTATATTGCAGCATATAAGAAGCAGGTGGCCAGTTTAGTTGTTGTAGCACGGGTGTAATATCATACTTTCTCGTGCCTGTGACAATAGTCTAGGACCTGTATATGAGTTTGTATGCATTTCATTTAGGACAGATAATCTCAACTGTTTTAGGGCAAGTTGACCATGACGGTCAACATGGTAACGCTGCCCGAACCCCAATCCGGGACGAAACGTCCAAAACTGACCACACCCAAAAACGACGCTTTCGCCATACTGCTATCTACCAAACCATAAAAGCTTTGGCTATTCTGAGGTGCTTATATGGTTCAGAGATGGTACTTTTCGGGGTGGTCATTGGTAAGTGTGAAATGCCTAGCACTAATATTTCACAAGGAAATGGCCATGCAATAATCATAGTTAAACGTCAATTTGTGGCTTGCAACTTCAGATAAACAGCAGTGGACTTACATTACCTTTTTCCCTAAATCTTTTTGATAGAAACATAATTGGTACTTATTTAAATATATTATCACTGGTTTGGTGTAAAATAGTTAATATTTTCTGACCGAAATAATAATTTGAAATAGTGCCTACCTCCTGCAAATGGACGTATTTGGCCAAGTTCTCCACTTTACTCCGCTGTTTATTGGCGATCTCGTCGACATCCTACAAAAAATGTAAATCATCTCAGACATAATGGTATCAAGAACATTTAAACAAGTTTCAACTTGGTTTCAAGTAGATCATACCTGTTTAACCATCGACAAGGTAAATCCACAACTTTGTCCAAATTCGGCGCCATTTTGTCATCCCATGTCGGTTGTCAACAATTCGGCCTTGTTACTCTTCCATTCACGCCATATCCATTGCACAAATAACAAATTTAACCCTTTGTTAAGGGTATTAAAATAAAAATACAAATGAAATATGCGAAATGCAGCATTTTATCACCCTGTAAGATCTTGCTCACGAGTTTTTCAAAACATTCCGTACACATCTCGCGTGACAAAGTAACAGGGACGTGACAGGGGGGGGGGTGAATTATTTCACGAAGATAGAAGAAGGCTGCGTGAAATAGACTAAAAGCTAAAGAAAATCATACAAACGTTTGTTTTATTTCTTGTAGCGACAAATATATACATATTATTATTTATTAATATGAACAAGTCACACAAATTAAATGTTGATTGTTGGGGTTTTTTTTACCATACTGTGTGGGCTTTCCTTTCATTTTTCAAGTCTCTACCCCCCCTGTCACGTCCCTGTTGCTAAACCACGCGAGATTTGTACGAAATGTTTTGAAGGACTCGTAGCAACATTTTACCGGATGATAAAATGCTGCATTTTGCATATTTCATTTGTATTTTTATTTTAATACCCTTAACAAAGGGTTAAATTTGTTATTTGTGCAATGGATATGGCGTGAATGGAAGAGTAACAAGACCGAATTGTTGACAACCGACATGGGATGACAAAATGGCGCCGAATTTGGACAAAGTTGTGGATTTACCTTGTCGATGGTTAAACAGGTATGATCTACTTGAAACCAAGTTGAAACTTGTTTAAAATGTTCTTGATACCATTATGTCTGAGATGATTTACATTTTTTGTAGGATGTCGACGAGATCGCCGATAAACAGCGGAGTAAAGTGGAGAACTTGGCCAAATACGTCCATTTGCAGGAGGTAGGCACATTTCAAATTATTATTTCGGTCAGAAAATATTAACTATTACACCAAACCAGTGATAATATATTTAAATAAGTACTAATTATGTTTCTATCAAAAAGATTTAGGGAAAAAGGTAATGTAAGTCCACTGCTGTTTATCTGAAGTTGCAAGCCACAAATTGACGTTTAACTATGACGATTATTGCATGGTCATTTTCTTGTGAAATATTAGTGCTAGGCATTTCACACTTACCAATGACCACCCCGAAAAGTACCATCTCTGAACCATATAAGCACCTCAGAATAGCCAAAGCTTTTATGGTTTGGTAGATAGCAGTATGGCGAAAGCGTCGTTTTTGGGTGTGGTCAGTTTCGGACGTTTCGTCCCGGATTGGGGTTCGGGCTGCTTACCATGTTGACCGTCATGGTCAACTTGCCCTAAAACAGTTGAGATTATCTGTCCTAAATGAAATGCATACAAACTCATATACAGGTCCTAGACTACAATTCGTGCAGCAAAATTTTGCACAGTTTGTAGTTTGGCAATATTTTTCATAGACGTATTTGCCCACACAGATGAACAATAATAAAGTTTGCTGAAGACCAAGGCGTTTATGATCACAATCAAGGTGCGGCTGTCTAGAATATGTTTAACTCGATTAAACTACTTTGCTAATTCTGGCAAAGAGAATTTGTACATTTTGAGACCACGCGGGTAATATGCTCATCATAGCTCAGACATTCATCAAATTCCATTCCTAAATCTTGGGCTGAAGATACTGGTCGTAGTTCCTTTTCGAGGAAAGTCACTCGAAAGTCTTGCACATGATTGAGCATTTGTGTTGTACCAAACAGAAGAAGTTTAGTCTTTTCGAGATTGGCAAGTAGGCTATTTGAGCAACACCAGGCAGCGATTCTCCTCAGATCGTTTGTAAGCTGAATCTCAGCAACATTAATGTCTTTGTATGAGAATGACAAGTAAATCTTAGAGTCATCTACATAAGTTTCTAAAGGACATACAGTGGAAGTAGTTGGAAGATCGTTTGTATAAATACTAAACAACGCTGGACCAAGTATTGACCCTTGAGGCACACCGTGTGTTATGGCACGAGCTTCTGATAGTATTTGACCGATCCTCACTAACTGAGTTCTATCTGAGAGGTAACTCTTAAACCAAACGAATAGCAACGAATGTTCAATGCTATCGAACGCTTTCGACAAGTCTAATAACACAACTGCAGTCAATTCTTTCCTATCCATGGCATCAAGAATCATATCCGAAACAAGTATATTAAGTGTCTCTGTTGAATGCATCTTTTTGTTTCCCCTCTGATGTTCGGTGAGACACCCTTTCTGAGACATATATTCCATCAATTGATTGAGTGCAGCCCGTTCACAGATCTTAGCAATCTCGTACCCAGAGCCATCGTTGAGTGGCTCTGGCCACACGGGATTGAAAAACGATCCTGATTGGTCGATCCATAAGTTATTAGACCCATACCCCCTGTGGCATTCACGAGCGCGGCCAATATGAGTGAATACGATATATTTTTGCTTTATTTGGCCTGAAAATTTGCTTATTTTGACGAATTTTTTGTTGCTTTTCGTCCGAAAAAGTGGTGAAGGGATTAAGGAGTTGATTTATGCATACTTGAATTCATTTGGGCAAAATAACAGGCTTCGTTATGATAATAATTCATACTCTTGGTTCACTCTGAGTGAGTATTGATGGGAAGTTGGCATATGTCCTTGATCTACTATATTGGAGTGTTATTATTGAAAATAAATTCAAGCGTACAAGACTTACAAGCGTACACGTATGCTACGACTGTGTTTGTACAAGATTTGTTTTTTTTTAATTGAACTGTAAATTATGTATGAACCATCATGGTGTGAATGCAACAATTAAACAGCATTTGGATTCTTTTGCAATTTGTCAACTCGTTTGAATGCTTGATTGAATTGTTTGATGATATAATATATTGTTTCTGTTTACAGTATTGCCTGTACAACTCTGTCAGAAACATTGGTGTTAGTAGCCAAAAAAGGTTTCATTAAAGGCCATGTAAACTATGTAATGTAAACAAACCGTCAAACCCTTTGTTTACATTCTGAACCCAGTGCTAAAGTTGTAAAATATTAGATATATATTATACTAAATTTTTAACACTCTTCTGGTTCGCTATGCTTGTAAATTAATACAGACTAGATATTCAATTCAAGAAAGTTCGGAAGGTACAAAATATTAATAACATTCCAATGGTCGAGTCCCGACCATTGGAATGTGGGCCTGCAGAACGCATGCGCAGAACAGACTTTACATGGTCTTTAACAATAGCAGTATGTACTATGTACAGCATGTAATAATGAAACCGTCTACACAATTTATACAATGGTTCCACTAAAATTGGTAAATAAATGATTGTCAACTATTCCACAGTCTTAGTGTGCTGAGTGGTTATATGGTAATATTACCTGAAAAAAACAAGCAGAAACTCAACATTGGCTACTAACTCTTGACGAACGGCCTTTGCTAGAAATGTCAAATTTCTGCTTGTTTTTTTTCAGGTAATACTATATATAAATATCAGATGTTCATTCTTGTAATGGCCAACTGAGTGTGCAACAAGTAACAATTGTATTTGAAGTCAAATGCTATACAAAAACAACTTTACTTTTTCAGAATAAGACTACTAAAACCAAATATTAGGTTTATCAGTAAACTATCATAATAACTTCATACATCTTTAACAATTTCAGGACTGCCGAAAGTAGGGATGCAGGCAAAAGCCCAGCTCAAAATGGGCCTCCAAAGCACAAAAAGTTGTGTCAGTGCCAGATAATATGCAGTAAAGTGTAATATATTGTAAAACACCTCTTCTCCCATCAATTATGATGTCATACTCATAGGGAAAACTTAATGATGGACCCTTGGGAAAACTTAATGATGTCATATGGTTTCCCTGGAAAGGTTTTACTCTGGGCCCTGCACAACCTCCCAGTGGTGCCATAAAATGAATTGCAAGTTCTAAAAAACCTTTATTGATTTCAATAATGTGTCATTCTGCACATCAACCTAACAAGCAATACAAGCATGAAAGTATAAATGATATTAAACTTATTCAAGCAGGACATTGTTATTAGTCAGGCCAGGTGTGATTCTTGATTCTTTAACCTAACTACTTTTTATCACATAACTAATGAGCGATGCCACATTTCCAACAATACTATTCCTTTCTTGAGTATTTCATTATATTAGACTCTTCATTATAATGCAACATGCCAAGCTGTTTACTGTTCCAGAATACAGAACTGTATAATTTTGACTTGAAAATGATTTCCATTATTTCCGGATGTACTGGCATTAATTGGCATAATAAAAAGATTATCATATGTACAGCCCCAGGTGTATCTGAAAGAAATGTAATACTAAAGTTATAAAATAGTCAACTATCGGTATTTAATAAACACACACAGGTATACTGCTATAGGCTTTTGCTCAGTTGCTACAGCAGTACCCTTCTTTATTGAGAAAAATATCTTTATTTTATCATTGTATGAAGAATAATATTTGGTTTTAAATTCCCTAGGTATGATAGATTCATAATAATGGATGTATAATTGTAGGTAATAAATATTGGGTATGATCAGCTCACAGGATGCTATAGAATTTCTGAAAATCGACTGCATTTTTAGGGGGTACACAATTATCTTTTGTGGTATTCTAACTAGACTACAATTAGGATGGAAATTCAGAGCCCAAGGTTAAAAAATTAACCTTGAAACAAAATAATGACATGATTCACATGGACAATATAAATTGTAACAAATTAAAGAATTAAAGGCAACCAAGGCAGTGTGCAACAAGCAACGTTCTTGCTCAAGAATAGCCTATTTAATAAAGCTGAGAGTTATTAAATTACTTTTATATAACAAATAATTAAACGTACTTATACCTTATGAAGAAATCAGAACATTTTGAAGGAAATAGAAGCCATTTGAGACAAAATATTTGATCGATGACTCGATGAGTGTTGACATGTGTACAAGCCGGTGTTTCAATCATCTCAAATTACTTGTTAAACGGAAATCACACGTGCACTCAGTATCCTTGTTGTTCACACTAACTGCGCCGAACATATTTTAATGCTTTTGACGGGAAAAATTGCGATTTTATTGATATTTTCAGCAAAAAGTTAGCTCTCCACTCCTCTTGAAAATACTATGGCGCGCACGAATTCCCGGAGAATGGGTACGAAATAGTTAATTGGAAAATACTGTACTTTTACCGTATTTTCTAATTAACTCAACTCGTGTGGCCAGAGCCACTCAACGATGGCTCTGGGTACGAGATTGATCTTAGAGGCCACAGTAAGCATGGACACGAGGCGGTTATTGTTAGGTATTTCGTAATCCCCCTCCTTTAAAATTGAGATAGCTACCGATTTCTTCCAAGCTAATGGAAACACCGCAGTTAATAAGGAACGGTTTACAATCTCAGTTAGGGTTGGAAGAATTATAGGTGGAGCATCCTTTATAACAGAGACAGAAACGTTGTCCACGCCTGGTGCCTTATACAGGGTTTTCATTAATTTTCTGTACAACCGGCTAATTGTAAATGATAGGCGTCCGAGCACCGAAGGTGCGAGATTTCTAGGGAGGTCCGGGGGCATGCCCCCGGAAAATTTTGAAATCTAAAGTCTCTGAAATGCCATTTCCTGCGTTCTGGCGAAAATTCTCGTAGAATTGCAATGGTCAGAAAACAAACTTTTTTGTCTAAAAAGTTACAGTTTCTTGTTTAGAAATTAGCAGGTTTCTACATGAAGAACAAAAGTAGAGATTTTCTGAGGGTGCGAAAGGCTATTTTCGGTAGAAACGCTGCTTGCAAATACAATGGATAAAGATGCAACATTGTAGATTTCATCTTATGATAGAAAAAAAAAACAATTTGATGAAAAGTGTTTAATGTAAATTTAACTTTTGACAATGTTTATAATTCTTTTCTGAACTAAAATTTGAATTAATCTGAATAACAAGTTAATCTGAATCTGAACTATCGTAATCATTATCAGTACTGTCCTCGACGTCACTGTCGGTGTCGTATTCTTCCAGATCTACTGCTGGTAATTTAAATAAGTTGGCAGCAGCATCCACCTCTTCCTCAGTCTCCATCATTCCAGCGTTGTCTTCAAACTCTTCTTGTTCACATAACGATTCATCTTCCATTTCCTGATCATGAACATTGACAGTGTCAGAAGAACCAACCTGTATGGACACATCTACACAATGTGCCCTCCCTTCTGCGTTAGATGGTCGTTTATTTGCAATGGACATCTTTCGCCTTGGTTTTGCGAGCCACTGCTTCAGAGTAGAATCGATTAATGCTGTTGAATCTTTTACTTCTGGACCGTTGATGGAAATATGGAGTAGCGATTCCAGCATGTCATTCTTTAAGCGCGACCTTACTCGCGTCTTTACTCTCTTGACACAAGAAGCTTCTCGTTCTGGCCAAGCACTACTCACAGGAATGGACAAGCACAACTCCGCCATATCCAACAGGAGAGGGAAAAGATACTGGAAAGTTGCTCGCATTTTCATAAGGTATTCAAGCACCCATTCTGTCGGTGTTTAGGCAATCAGATTCCTCTTCACTGGTGGCGTCAGTATCTCGGCTGGGATATCATCCTTGATGGACAGAAGATTATATTTGAACTTTCTCCACTCGCATATTAGCTCTTCTTTTTTTTCATCTTTGACTTTGACCTCCATTTCTTGGTAGAAATGATCTGCCAAAATAACAATATCCTTCATACCATACTCTTTAAATACTGGCTCCGACCTGTTTGGGACAGCTAAAGGATTGAAGATTCTGAAGGCTGTTAAGACTGGGATGCTTCCATCAAATCTATTGTTAATGTTATCCCTTAAAGCTGCAACATAAGCCTTCGTCAAAGTTGTGAGCTGCTTCTCATCCGAAGCTACAAGTGGTCGCATATCACATTGGGAAAGTCTGCCACCCTCTGAAAGATCTTTCTTCAAATTCGTCAGTGGTTTCTCCTCATCAGCAATTGCTTCAAGTTCATCCAAAGTAAACTTAATGGCAGGATCAATGGCTGCAAACGAAACAGCTCCTTTTTGAAAGGCTCTGCTGAGATGGGCAAGAATTGGGATTGCTTCGTTGAGCAAATATACAGCACCTAGGAATTTGACATTTCCTACTTGTTTCAGAAGACCAATTGCTGCCGAGTCATTCTCCTCCTTTAACTGTCGAAGAGTTTGTGTCAATGCTGCGAAATCGTTATAGACCCCCTCTATAGCTCTTTCGGTGGACAGCCAACGGGTCTTGCAGGCTTTGTGAAAACGCTTACTTAGTTTCTTCTTTCCACGTCTGGTCATAGCATTAGTGACTCCAAGTTCACTTGCATTCATTACAGCCTTTGCATATTTTGCAGCTTTTTTCGGCGAGTTTTTGAAAAGGGACCAAAGTTGTATGAGAATTTTCTCCATTGTTAGTATGTATGAAACAGAATTGTTTGCATCGCCACAAGCCAAAGCTAATCGATGGGCAATGCAGTGAACATTTATAAGAGGCTTGTTATCTGAGCGAAGTTTAGCTGCCACGCCATTCTTCTTTCCTGTCATCACAGATGCTCCATCACTCGCAAAGCTTGCAAGCTTAGATTTTTCCTATTTGCTATCTTCAAGTTGTTTATTAAGAACAGTCCAAATGGTATTGGCATCTGCTGACTGTGAATTCTGAAACAGGTCATTTGCAGACAGAAAATCTGTTGTAGCTTTATTGGTTTGTGGGTCAACATACTTAATGAAAGTTAGCAACTGTTCTTGATTAGAAATGTCGCAAACTTCATCACACAGTAATCCAAACCAATTTGCTTTTCTGCACTTCTCTGCCACTTGTGATTTAATTTGATACCCCAGCGCTAAGAATATTTCTCTGAATGATCCAGCTGAGCGATGCTGAAAATATTTCATATCTATCAATCCTAATTGTTCAAGCACATACAAAAAGCTGGAAATTTTGAAGTTTGGTAACTCTTCTTTTGCCAGCCAATATATTGCCAGAAAAGCATTGTAATACACAGCGTCGTTTTTCTGTTCTTTCCTGTCAAGTTCTGCCTGGAATGGAGAGGTTCTGTTAATCAGTTCACACATTATTGCAGCTTTATGCTGTTGACTATTGGCATGTTCCTCTACTGCTTTACGTTTAAAGCGGATTCCAGCCTGAAGATTAAACTTCTTGCACTTGTTTTTTTCATTTTCAGTATTGTGCTTTCGGCAAATGAAACAGAACATGCCCTCACCTTCCTCGTAAATAAGCCAATTATATCCCGTTTTTTCACAGTAAGTTAATTTATTATCTGTTATCCAAGCATGTTGAAAACGATCTCCTTTTGTACTGATACGCTTCACCTCATCACAACTTTTATGTTCTGAAACATACAAACACATCCATACATTAGCAGCTATCAAATATTTTTGGCAAAAAAACAAATTCAGTTTTAATAAATGAAAATATTAGAGTGGCACTGACATGATTCATATGGATTATACTGTAGGTGTTGTTTAATTAAGATTTTGGAATTTTAAGCATATTGTCTTGATTATTTTGGTAACTTTAAGTTTAATGCACTTATCATCAGAACCTCCTCCCTCTGAGAACAAGGGCATATGTGAGATGTGGGTGGTGTGAGCTTGTCATACTTCACCCCATGGGAGGGCCCATTAATAGAGTTTAGTAAGGAGCAGAGGCTAATATATAAAATGAACATGCATTGTTTCTCTGTATAAATTTATTATTTATATTTAGTTCCTGTAAGGAGAGACAAGCTAATGACCCCCATGTTTTCATAGGGGAGTCTGATGCCTAGTACATAAAGTCTTACTGCATATATTAACAAGGTCAGGCATGGTTATTGGTAACTATGTCAAAGGAAACAAACCTACAGAAATTTTGCTTCAGAAATACACTCAAATACTGCTTCAGAAATTTTGCTTCAGAAATTTTGACAATATGAAATAGATTTTATTATATCTTTATTCATTTAACAACATTGTAGTGTCACTGTGAACTGGTATATGGTACAATTATAAAATAGTTTTAAATTATTTTGTCATGACAGCCAGACTGACACTGTGTTGAAACAGAATTTATAATTATATGCATTTTATCACTGACCCGTGACAAGAAAACATTGACCCGTGACGTTAATATTAAAAACAATAGGTAATAATGTACACTACCTGTGTTGTCCATTCTTCTCTGCTTGTGAGTGAAAAATGCATCAAAAGCTGATGTCTGAAAGCCTGTTGAATTTCCTCTGCCACGCTTTTTACTCGCCATGTTTTCAATTTTCACCCGCCATGTTTGTTGGGCCTTAATGCAAATATTTTACGAAGTATTGCATAAAATAGATCGGCGACCGCTGATCGTTCAAATTCGAGTTGCGAGAAAATGGCAAGAGAAATTTCAAAACAATGTGAAATATTTATACGACATAAACTCGTGAGTTATGAACCTATTTTATAAGTTTACTATGGAAAACGAAAACACTAATACCTAACTTGTCATTTTAAATAATTATACACATGCTTGATAGACTGACAATACTTAAATTATTTTTTATTAAAAGTTTTATACGTGGCTCAGAAAAATTTACCAGACACAAAAAAATAGCCGGCGGTCTTAGGCCAAACAGGCGGCGGTAAACCGCCGGTAACCGCCTATTAATGAAAACCCTGCTTATATGATGGAAATGAATTCACGATCTTACGTATTTCATAAGATGATACAGGGCGGAAGTTAAACTCATCAGTGTCGTTATTTAATACAATATTGTTAGGTTGGACTGACGGTAGATTATTTGCAATGGCTATTTTCTTCGACTCTTCTGCGGCTTTAACCCCAACTGATGTATAAAAGATGTTAAATTCGTCAGCCAGTTCTTTCATGTCCCTAGTATAAACGGGTTGTGATACCTTTTTGCGAGGCACACATCTCCTAATAACTTTCCACATTGCATTCGGTTCTTTATTATAAGTAATACCATGGTTTTTAAGAATACAGTGATTAAATCTCCCGCAAACCGAGGAGGTTTGTGAAAGTCCCGAGGGGAAGCTTGAGGGCGAAGCCCGAAGGCGTCCCGAGGGACTTTCGCAAACCTCCTCGGTTTGCGGGAGATTTAATCACTATATTCTTAAAAACCATGATATTAGTTTGTAATACCATGATGACCGAGGTGAGGCTAGTGTTTTAATTGTACAAAATTAATTGATAGTACGAGTATTGTGTAATACAATGCATGATCAGTGATGTATACAACAATTTTCCATTGTCGGAAATTCGTTTTGATAGTAAACAATTCTTAATATACGTGTGTCAGTGCCGGGTGCATGTGCATGCATGCATATAAAATGAGTTACTTTTTATACCTCAAGTCTTGTTCTTGGACGCTCACTAAGAATGATATGGCGGATAAACGTTTCTCGTTTGTTATGGAAGCCGATGTTCAGAAAGTTAGAGATAACAGAACGCCTGAGAATACTATCAGACACACTAGGTGGAGCATGAATGTTTATAAAGCATGGGCAAAGGCAAGAAATACCGAGTTTCGTGATCTTGAAGCCGAGAGTGAAGTATTCAAGCGTGTGCCAGATTTGCAGGAGATGAGCGTTGACGAAATTAATCACTGGTTTAGCCGATTAACGCTAGAAGTACGGAAGAGAAACGGTAAAGAATACCGCCATGAAGTCGTGTATAGTCTGTTTTTTATGAGTAAATAAATTACTGTCTTTATAATATAGTTGTGTGAAATGTTTAGTGAAAAGTGAATATTAATAAGTCGAGTAATTAACACTTTATCTTACTGCCATTAACATTGTAGTGTAATTATTTTGTTTGTTCTGTAAAAGCTATTAAGAAAACTCCTTGTCGTGTCTTTGAATTTTGGCTCATGACTATTAATCAGGGAGAAATTAGAAATCTGTCCGGCTTTGCCGGGAGAATTAGATATCTCGTGATCCCGCTAAACCGGGAATATCGTGATTAAAACACTCGGCGAGAACAAAAGAACCCGAGGTCATCAGGGTATTATTATAAGTAATAGCATGGCTTGAGGGAGATTAGTGATTAAATGGCCCCGTAACCCGAGGCAGGTTTGCGGAATTCCCGAGGGCGAAACCCGAGGGAATTCCGCAAACCTGCCGAGGGTAAGGGGTCATTTAATCACTAATCTCCCGAAAAGCCATGCTATTAGTTTGTAATAGCATAGTTTCGCTCCCATTTAAAAATGGACAAACATGCCCTACTTGGAATCAGCGTATTTAAGCTAAAACATTTGCTTCATTGCTTGTGGGATGTAAAAGCTTGTTGCACATGCGCACTTTTACGCTTTAATCGGTTACGCATGCGCAATCTATCATTTAACGTACCACAACAAACACGCTAAATATATTAGTATAAATTTGGAGACTGCACGTGCGTACTTTAAATGATGCGGCAACTCAGGGATCGGATGATAGACTATTGACGGCTCTGAGCTAACTGTTGCTGTTCCTTGCACGATTATGTGCGTGAGGCACTTGCCTAATGCGTAGTCGTCAGGGAGACAAAGGTGTGACCCTTGGTAACGGGCGATTAGTTCTAATCGCCCGCTCTAGCGGGCGATTAGAACTAATCGCCCGCTACAGCGGGCGATACGTGATTAAACGTCCCTGTTGAAACAAAAGAAACCCGGGCAACTATGCTATTATTTTTGTAAATTTCATTTTGGACATATCTTTTTTCTGCCTCTCGCAATGTTTTCTTTACTTCATTACGACCCACGCGAAAACTGTTCCAGTCACAGATATTTTTGGTCTGCCGCGCTACTCTGTGCAAACGATTTTCTTCATCAGCTCTTTTATTTCATCATTCACGAACGGAGAGTGGCGATATCTGACTTTTACGGTTTTAACGGGAGCATGTCTATCCACAATTCTGAGGAAATTACGGTTAAAATGATTTAATTGTCCATCTACGTCAACAACCAATGAAATATTCTCCCATTGCTCTTGTGCTATATCTTCCAAAAACATGTTCCGATCGTAGTGTTTATGGCTTCTGACGTTTATAAGCGCAGGTTGGAGTTTTGGAAGTTTTAATTTTAGCACGGTAAAATCATATAATGATCGCTTATATGATTTTCCACTACTCCACTTTCGGCTACTAGACCAGTATTAGTTGTCATAATGACATCTATAAGAGTTGATGATTTTGGTGTCACTCTTGTTGGACTAGTAATTAGTCGTGTTAGATTTAAACTAGAGTACAAACTAGTGAGTACTCTCGATTCTTGATTGTCTTTCAAGATATCACAGTTGAGATCACCAATGATAAACACTTCCTTCCATAAGTAAGAGCTAGGGTGTCCTTCTCCAAAAATTCATCCGCAAAACATGTCACGAAACAGTCAGGAGGACGGTAAGTAATACACAATAAGATAGATTTTAGATTCCTGTGCTGAACATACATCCATAATTGGTGAGAACCGGACGGTGATATTTCAGTGTGCTCTGTAAGGGTTTTAACTTTCAACGAGGTTCGTGTGTATACACAGACCCCTCCTCCTGATTTCCTTGTTCTATCCAATCTTGATAGTTTATATCTTTCGATTTCCACTTCTGCATTTGAAATCGTGGAATTTAAATAACTTTCTGACACTGCAAAAACATCGTGGTGTTTTTCTTTAACTAAACAACGTAATTGTAGAAGATGGTCGCGTTTCTTTAGCGATCGAATATTCAGGTGGGCGATTTTAATTTTCGACTTATGAAAGGACTTCGACAGTTGATTGTTATTAATGCTGGCTCTGTTAATATTAGATAGCTTAAGATCTAAGACGTCGACGTCAGTTAGAACGTCAGGGCTAAGCAGATGACTGGGACTAGGACGTCCTAAATAAATAAACTTCTACTTTAGATTCACGACATCGACATTTAAGTGGCAGTCCCGCTAAGAGCGGTCCGATGACTTTGACTTCGGAAAATAGATTTCCTTTATTTTTTGTGTGTTGAAAGGCATTGGTATACAAGTGTCCAAAATAAATTTATTTTTTGAAAATTCTTTTTTATGGCTTCGCTTGACGCCGAAACTCATTTCACCCGTGCAGAGCTAATTTCAAGCAAAATCGAAGGTTGAATTTCGGTAAATTGTAGAGCCGCGCTGTTTCAAAACGCCTGACTATTTCCAAATTTCAACTAGATCAACAAGTTAAGACACAATTCAGGTTCCCTGTTTCAAAAAATAAGAGCATTTGAATAAATTGTGAATAAACGACAGCGACTTGACGGCACACCGGTTTTTGCTTCTTATTCGGTCTAGAAAATTACACTAAAATCGAAGCCTGATATCTCCAAATGGGGACCTAAAATTACGCTGAAATGTGCTTGGCTGTAATGATTTATACTTATTTTTAGAAGATCTGAAGAAAAACCTGCGGGTATCAATCTGTATTTGGCGCGAGTTAAGATTTTCTGGAGCCCATAATCAATGATTTTTGCATAATTTATAGCTAATTAACATATTTCTTGAGAGGCGCTAAAAGTAAACAATTTCTTTCTGACTGACATATCTCAGATGAAAGAAACTGCCACAGCTAGTAATACCCTTTTTGTAAATATAGTCGTAATGTGCTTTTCCTGACACGCTGAGAGAGCTTTGTTTTTGAATGTTATACCACATTTATTCAGTCTGACCAGATTCATATAAATGTCACGAACTTGTATATTTCAAAAATATTCCAGAATTCAGAAAGACCGATTATTCTTTCATTGATTCAGTTGATTGATTTAGTTGATTGATTTAAAAAACTATAAGTATAATGGAACATTTCAAGTGTTTCCATTGCCCCTATATAGGCCTAGAATTTTTATCAATATGTTCTATTTTTCTGTGGCGACGGCATATTAACAAAATACGACACAAAAATGTACATTCGAATTTATGACCGACATATCAGAATGTTATTTATGAAGTTTGAATTGAATTTACTTAACGCGAAATAACTACTAAAATAGGAATTTTCTATGCCGGGTTAGTAAAAGAAAAAGCATAATTTTAATTGTATGTAATTTCGATGAATACTATATTTAAAAAAATTATACGCATTGTTTATATAAATTAGCTAACATTTTTAACAAAAATATCAATTTTATAAATAATCGAATTTCAATATTTTTCTTTGAAAAAAAAATATTTTCGTGAGCTCCATAGCTGAGAATAAATTTCAAAAGTTTGTGAATTAAAATTCACAAGACACAAGTTTGATATTTTTGTTAAATAACTGATCAGAATGCTTATAGTTTATTTTGTTACATGGCTAAAACAAACGTCGCTACTATCGTAATAAATGTGTAAATGTTAGCTAATTTATATAAACAATGCGTATAATTTTTTTAATAGTATTCATCGAAATTACATACAATTAAAATTATGCTTTTTCTTTTACTAACCCAGCATAGAAAATTCCTATTTTAGTATTTATTTCGCGTTAAGTAAATGCAATTCAAACTTCATAAATAACATTCTGATATGTCGGTCATAAATTCGAATGTACATTTTTGTGTCGTATTTTGTTAATATGCCGTCGCCACGCCACAGAAAAATAGAACATATTGATAAAAATTCTAGCCCTATATAGGGGTAATGGAAACACATGGAATGTTCTATTATACTTATAGTTTTTTAAATCAATCAACTAAATCCATCAACTAAATCAAGGAAAGAATAATCGGTCTTTCTGAATTCTGATTTGTGGTACTGATATTGTTGAAATATACAAGTTCGTGACATTTATTTAAAAAGGGGCTACGGTGGCCAAGTGGTTAGCGCACTTGCCTTTCATCTCTGAGGCTGCAGGTTCGAATCTCACTAAGTACCTTCTCAGTGCGACTCGAACCCAGTCCCCATGTGAAAAGAGTAAAAGTCAACGCTCTGCCGAACGCCGTGGGTTTTCCCCGGGTACTCCGGTTTCCTCCCACACGGAAAAGTTGACAGGGTGGGTTAGGTAAAAAGGGCCCACAGTAATTGGCATATGCTGTTGTGGTGACCCTGCCCTAGTTGGCGAAGCTAAAAAAAAAAAAAAAAAAAAAAAAAAAAAATTTATGAATCTGGTCAGACTGAATAAATGTGGCATAACATTCAAAATCAAAGCTCTCTCAGCGTGTCAGGAAAAGAACATTACGACTATATTTACAAAGAGGGTTTTACTAGCTGTGGTAGTCTCTTTCATCTGAGATATGTTAGTCCGAAAGAAATTGTTTACTTTTAGCGCCTCTCAAGAAATATGTTAATTAGCTATAAATTATGCAAAAATCATTGATTATGGGCTCCAGAAAATCTTAACTCGCGCCAAATACAGATTGATACCCGCAGGTTTTTCTTCAGATCTTCTGAAAATAAGTATAAATCATTACAGCCAAGCACATTTCAACGTAATTTTAGGTCCCCATTTGGAGATCTCAGGCTTCGATTTTAGTGTAATTTTCTAGACCGAACAAGAAGCAAAAACCGGTGTGCCGTCAAGTCGCTGTCGTTTATTCACAATTTATTCAAATGCTCTTATTTTTGGAACAGAGAACCTGAATTGTATCTTAACTTGTTGATCTAGTTGAAATTTGGAAATAGTCAGGCGTTTTGACACAGCGCGGCTCTACAATTTACCGAAATTCAACCTTCGATTTTGCTTGAAATTGGCTCTGCACGGGTAAAATGAGTTTCGGCGTCTAGCGAAGCCATAAAAAAGAATTTTCAAAAAATAAATTTATTTTGGACACTTGTATACCAATGCCTTTCAACACACAAAAAATAAAGGAAATCTATTTTCCGAAGTCAAAGTCATCGGACCGCTCTTAGCGGGACTGCCACTTAAACTATAAGTATTTACCTTCTTTTGAAAAAGATTGTTAAAGAGACACATGAATTCATTACCGTTTGCTATGCTCTTGTATCCACGACGGTAAAACTCTTGTTATGAGGTTGTCGACGAGCAAATTGAGAGAGACACATGCACACTTCAAAAACTATTACCAATTTACTTCCGCTTGCCGTCCTAAGTATTTGACGTCGTAGATACTCGAGCTATCTATTTATTTAGGACGACATGCTAGTCCCGGTCCTCTGCTTAGCCTTGACGTCCTAGCTGATGTAGACGTCGAAGATCTTAAGCTATGTATTATTGGCCTGGGTGGAAACGTCAGCATGAGTTCTCTGCAACACTGATATCAAATTATTTCCATTACGCCCGCTTTGCTTTGGTCTATATATGCTATTACGGAAGGAAGAGATTCTAACTGGTATTCTAGCCATTACACACATGTCGAGTATTTCCCGTGATAGGTAGTGTTAATTTTAATTTCACGTTCAGTGGAATTTATTGGTTGCCAAGGTCTACTTTTGACGAACTTTGGCCAGAAACTGTCAGATTGAACTAGCAACCCCACTGAGGACAGAATATGGACTTCTGCAGAGCGTGTTCCCCTACGTTGACTTCGAAACAGTGAAATATGGGTCGGTGTTATATTACGTTTCTCTAAATAAGACAGGATCTAATTCTCTTTCACACGCTCATGTATTCCAGAAAGAAAAAATTCTTTATTCTTTTTCGCCTTCGGTCGACCCCAATAAAGCCATCAGCATCATTCAGTAGCTGAGCTTTTCATTAGATTTACAAGTTTTTGGGCACGATTTTGCCACTTGAGCATAGGTTTCTTGATGCACCACAGCTTCAGGTTTTTCAATAACATTACTGTCAACGTATTAATTGGTCACCTACAAAACAATCAGCAACTCTCTCAATGAGAGTTTCATCAGTCATGCTTGATGAAGCCTCACTCGAATCATCCAGTTGACTAATGTTTTCTGCCTCATTGTTTCCCATGGGATTTGTTAATTGATCTGACACAAAAGAGTAGTCGTGACCATCAATTTCAATAGGATCTTGCAATTGAGCAATAACGTGATTTCCATTTTCACTGTTCTCATTATGGTTAATTGACCCTGTCGAAGCTCTCTCTCTAAAGCCCGGCGCACACTAGAGCCATGTGCTTAGCAAAATTTCATTCGTGACTGTTGGCGTAAGGATAAAGCTCTCGTGTGCGGTGCACTTTTGCAAGTTTTTCGTCACTCGTGACGCAAATATCCAATGTGTTGAATATTTTTTGACACGAATGAATATTTCGTCCACGTGTGCGCGCTCGAAAAGCTATCACCTGTCATTGTAGATCGAACAGGCATGCGTAATAAAACATAAGACAAAAGGAAAATAATTAATCAGGAATGTGAAACTTGAGTAGCAACATATGGATATTCCTCATTAATCATTTTCCTTTTGTCTTATGTTTCATTACGCATGCCTATTCGATCTACAATGAAAGGTGATAGCTTTTCGAGCGCGCACGCAGAAATTTTTTTTGGGATCACTTTCTTTAGGAGCTTGGTAACCGCGCCTGTTATGATGCAATATAGGAAGCCTGTACAGCAGGAAATAGATTGCGGTCGAATACTTTGACGCAACTTATATATTCTATATTTATTTACATAACTGCTGCGGTTTTGACGCATTATTCATCGCGTCTTTCCGAAAGCTTTGTACCCATAAATAAAATGTACTAAAAAGAGAACACATTACGTACAAATTTTTTATAAAATAGATCAAAATATACCATAAATATTGAGATATATGCTAGTATAAAGGTCATAAGTTCGTGCGTAATGGTATTCGAAATAGACATATTATTAATTCGCAGTTCATTTAACTGATAGAAACGTTCACATTCAAATTATTCAATTAGGTATGAATTTGGTTTAAAAGATTCCCTGTTTGTATTATATTGTGCACTACTAATACTGTGTGAGTCACAGATGAGATAGTCTCGGTTGAAAACGTGATGTTTATACTAGCCGACAAATATGCAAACCACAAGTCTAATAATGCTTATAGGCGTATCAAAATTCAAAGATCAAAATTTGCCTGCGCGCAATGCAAAATGTAAACAAGACACGTTTATCGATTTTGCATTATAAACTGTGGAAGCTGAGGACGATACAGAAATTCAGTTGTAGTAACTTCTAATATATAGATTTTACATTCGTACTTCAGCATTCAGTTTACTTCAGGCTATACAGCCACACACGTTAGTGTTTATTTCCGGAAAATTTAAATATTTCCCGCTAAAGGTTAATGATAATCAGAATGGTATAATAGACTTTATATGAGTACCTGAATAACCCCAAGTTTACATTAAGTGTCCCAACAAATCCAAATATGTACCCTGAGTAAAAGTCGCGGTTACCAAGCCTCCACGGAAAGTGATCCCAAAAAAAATTTATGCAGCGCGCACACTTTGAGGAAATGTCCATTCGTGACAAAAAATATTCAACACGTTGGATATTTGTCTTACGCGTCACGAGTGACGAAAAACTTACAAAAGTGCACCGCACACGAGAGCTTTCTCCTTACGCCAACAGTCACGAATGACATTTTGCTAAGCACATAGCTCTAGTGTGCGCCGGGCTTAAAGCCTGCAGCACACGAGAGCTATCTGCTGAGCCAAAAGTTACTCGTGCCTGTTAGCTCAGCTGATAGCTCACCGATCAACAGTGATGTAAGGGACGGACCATTAGAAAAGTGATGGGGAGGGTGGGGAAAAAAACAGAAAAAAAATCCATGCAAACAAAAAAGGTTTGAAAAAAAATACATGCAAACAGACTTGTTTAAAAAAAAATTACAAACAGAACAACAATAGAACTTTAATTTTAAATGTACATCAGACAAAATTGAACTAAATCTTTGGAATATTTCAGAATATAAATATATCAAAATATATAAGATATTAATATGCAATTTCTTTCAATATTAACAGTAACTCTTATGTAGTTTTATTATATACTATCAAAATATTTTCTATTGTATTTAATAATTAATTCTCATTCACACTGCCACTGTCCTCAGTGGCGTAACTACTATGGGCTCGGACTGGGAGAATCCGGGGGCCACCAACCCCAATGGGCCCGCAAATGGGGGGCCCCAGGCTCAGGCTACAGAGCAAAAACATTGGCCAAGGGCCTCTGATATGTTACAATGGCGTTTTCTGACCATCAGAATTCTGTAAAATCTCTCCCCAAAGTCCGGGAAATGGTATTTCAGAGAATTTAGATTCAAAAATTTTCCGGGTGAGCATGCTCTTGGACCCCTAGAAAACTTGTCCATATATGGTGCTTAAAGATATAATTTTGCAGTGTGTATTAAAGGGATATTTTTTTGTCAAGAGAACAGTTTCGTTAACATTTGTATAGTTGTATTGGAAAAAAAATTGCATGCGAGAAGACATATTTAAAAAAAACATGCATACACAGCTGACAACCTGGAAAAAAATGCAAACAAAAAAAATTCACCCCCCCCATCACTTTTCTAATTGTCCGTCCCTAAGTAGATGAATACTGAGAACAACATTGCCTAACATGGTCATCTATTAGTTTTAGCGTAATGATTGACATTTGGATAAAAGTAAACAATATAGGTTTTTATAGTGCATGTGAAAACAGGGCGTATTATTGTGAGACTACGAGAAATACGAAGAGATTTATATACGTTTTATACGCGTGTTTATTGTGATTCATTGTGATTGTGGAGAACATCTGTTCAGCGGAGGGAACATTCTCTACAAAGTGACTTATTGTCAGAAAAGACTAATTGTCAGAACCAGTATAATAAAGTAATTATCCGGCGAGGAAACGGCATGTAGTAAAACATGGACTGGACTCATTAGTAAAGCATGGACTCTATTAGTAAAACATGGACTCGATTAGTAAAACATGGACTCGATTAGTAAAACATGGACTCGATTAGTAAAACATGGACTCGATTAGTAAACCATGGACTCGATTAGTAAAACATGGACTCGATTAGTAAAACATGGACTCGATTAGTAAAACATGGACTCGATTAGTAAAACATTCCTAAATGTAGTTCCTTGTCTGTTTTTTTGTAAATTGTAATTTTAATAACATCAACTTTAGTGTACAAGAGATCTCATCTATATTTAACGTAAAGTTTCAAGAATCATCGACCATTTAAATATGTTGGAAATTGTCAATATTTAATATTTAATATTTAACAGTTTATGGCATACCTGAAGTTAATTAATGCGCAAGTGTCAATCAAAAAGCATGCGGTTTGTACATAATTGCAAGAACTTTGTGTGATTGTGTTGAGACGGGGCGAGAATAAATATATTTTTCATAAAAGCGTTTGAAATCTCTACTTTTATTTTATTGTGAATATAGGAGGCAATTTACGACAAAGTAAATGTGGAATAAATACCAAATTATTTACCGACAGCTAGGTATAAATGCTATACATAGATATAGATGATTTCTTGATTTTTATGTAAACAGAAACACCTTTGCTATTTAACACGTCCACATCGATTTATCCCAGGAGAAACGTAATTTGGACGTGGTTATAAATATATACTCGGTAAAAAGATTCTCCGACAATCGGCATGTTTCCGGCTAATTTACGAAATTTGGATTGATGGTGTCAGACATTCTGACCACCGGCAACCGTTTGCCAATAGTTAAATATGAGCATTTACATGTTTGTTTGCGTGCGAACAACGGCCGATAAATAGATCTGGGGTCGGTTGTATAAATTAAACAAATCTATGAACTATTGATTACAAAACTTTTCTTTTCTGTCTAAACATAATAACAATGCATAAAACTACTCATTTAGTTGATAAAAATTAAGTTCAAGTACTTACAATATATGTATATTGAGAAGGAATGTTTTTAATTTTTTGCCTATACATGCACCCTTTAAGCCAAACGCCTTTGACACAACCGACCCCTATTCAATGTCGCGTTATGTTTGTAAGGTGGGGGGGGGGGGGGGGGGGGGG